GGCTGAGACCCTGCCGGAGGCAGACAGCCGACCTGGTGGGGGGAGGAGGTCACCGCGCCCCCGCAGTCCCTCTGTCCGGCACTGACCCCATCCAGCCCCACCAGGCATTGCCCAGCCCCTGTCGACTGTGTGCTTTGCCCTGGGTTAAGTTTCAGAAGTCAGGATGGAACGTTTCGGGTTTCTGTTCACACGGTTATAGAAGGCACCGCGGAGGGGACCATACAATAGAGTTGGGGCGTGTGGGGAAGGCGTTTTGTGTTTTAATGAGGGTTTAACACGACGGCTGCAGGTCCTCCGCGCCCCCTCCCCGGCTCCTTCTGGATCCCACCCCCCAACCCCCACAAAGGTCGTCCTTTCACGTCCGCTCCTTTCCTCTTCTCCCCGCCCCGCGCAGGTCCTCGGTCGGGAGAAAATGCGGCGTCAAAGGGACGCCCTGGGCAGCTCCCGAGACAGCTGTGAATCTGTGCGTGGCGCAGGGCTGCGGTGATTGATAGACGCTCCTTTCTCAGGCTTTTTCCCGCGAAGCACAGAGCTGTCCCGACGCGACGTGTGCAGTCTCACGCCGGATCCCAACCAATGCGCCGGCGGCCGTCCCCTGGCTCGGTCTCGCGCAGCTCTTGCCCTCGTGGAGACACACCGGCGTAGCCAGTTCAAATACCCCACAGACCGTGGAGAGACAGAGTAGCTTGCAAACGTGATTTGAAAGCAGTTACCAGTTGAATACAGCCCACGTTGTCCAGTTCATAGTTTACAAGACACATTCAACTTCCAAGCGCCTTGTCTTCGCATCCCAGATTATAATAACGCTACGACTGCGACTATACACGCTAGGACTGGAGGGAGAATCGTGGTACTGATCTGGGTCATCCAAGACCCAAAACGTTAAACTGGAAAACCTACTAAAATTGTGTCCTGAAATACCCGCATCACAGCTCTAGTCCTTCCTACCATCAGAATAGACACAACTCCAGCCCACGGTCTGCTCAGTAGGATTTACTACCCACTGTCCCTGTTGGCCAAAGACCAAATGGAAATAGGTGATATTCAACAAATCGAGAATCCTATCGAGGCCGACCTCTCAGACCCTCCGACTGCCAGCGGTTAAGTACCTGATCTGGGAAACTCACGTCTTTATTTGTCTACACCCCAGAGGCCGCGGAAGTAGCCTCCGGGAGTAGAGAGAAAAGCAACGTTGAATTAAGGTTTTCCAAAGCCCAAGAGGATAAATATGACCGCCCGGGTCAGCCAGTCAGCAGTTTTGGTCCAGACAAGGGACAGCCAGTTGGGGCAGTTCGGTTAAACCACGGCGCCTCCCGACGTCACACACGCTTGCTAACACTCGGCCACGCGCTCGTGGTTATTCTTTAAACGCAGGGCTGGAACTACACAAGCTAGACCGCCGGGTGCGGAGGAGGGCCAAACAAGGACCAGGACCCGCCCCTGCCCCCAGCGGGCCCCCCCCCGCCACGACCGTGACCGCGTCCGCGCGCTTCCTGACCGGAGTCAGCAGCCCGCGCTCTCTTTAGCCGCGGTATCCCGCAGCCCGCAGGCAGCTCCAGGGTCCCAGGTGCGCGCTCGTTCCCACGCCTCTGCTGGAGCCCGGCGGCCGGCATTGGCGAGCGCAGCCCCGCCCCCCCGCCCCCGCCAATTGCGG